GCAGGGCTGGTGCAGCACAACGCTTGTGCCATTTCAATAAGAAGCTTCACAGGAGAACAGCTAGAGAGAGCAAGCTTCCCATTGTAAGCAGCTGGGCCCAGAGATCTTGTCTTTAAACAGAATTTCAGATAACTATTGCCATCTACTGGAAATAGACTTGTGTAACCACTGCTGCTGAGCAGTCCCACACGATCAGGCTGAGAGAGACACAAAACCCCCCCTTCCATCATCACAACCTAAAGGCAGCCACTCCTTCCAAATTAACTGATTATACACAAACTATCGACTGCGACTTAGAGATAAGCAAAAAATAAGCATCCCAGGCTCTGTGTGTCATCATTCAACCCCCCTCCACCACCCTGGCAGCACAGCAGTCAGTGGTGCAACAAGACCAGACCCTACCCTACATGCCTCCTTGCTACGAGGGTGCCCTTGAAAGGCTCCAGCGGAGGCCACCCCACCTAACGGCAAACTTCTTGCACAGTGCAGCCCAAGTTCCAACAGGAGCCATAAAACGCCTGTTCTGTGGCAGCCAAACCTGGCACTGTGAACCTTGAGTCCCACCAAAGCCAGGATGAAGTCGTTACCAGCAACCCTGCTTCAATGGCTTCAATTCCTTCCTTCACTGAGGGCGTAAGAGCCAAGAATCTCACCACTCAGGTATGCTTGGTGCTCTCCTATCCTTCAGGTGACTGTTGCCATTCAGTCTGAAATGAAATACAGGTTAATGGACATCCTACCTCTCCCTTTCACCTGCTCAGCAAGGAGCACAGCAGACCACCGCAGCACAGCCATGTCCAGGGGACAGGGAGAGAACACTGAAGAAAGAGAGCCCCAGAGTGCCGTCTTGATGCTACACACCTCCTGCTAGCACTCACCTGAAGTTGAGAGATGCAGTTTGTGTCCTGAAAAGGGCAGGACAAAGAGAGATTAAGAGCCTGCTTGGAATTATTTAATGTCACATTTCATGTTGAAAGCAGGCACCACAACTCCTGACTAGGTCAGCCCAGGAACACCCAGCTGACAAAGTCCTTCTCTCTTGCCCTCTCTTCTCATGGCATTTCCACAGCAGCTTCAGTACAAGAGATGGAGCACATTCTCATTTGCTTTCAAGCTTTGCATGGTGCTTGACAACTAGAGAGTGTCCTTAAGCTCTGCTCAGTACACAGGTTAGTGGGCTGATCCTACAGTGTCACTCATATGTTCCTAGTGCAAGCTGAGCTGGATGCCCAGGCCAGAGCTTTGCATACCATACCTGAGCCAGGTACCCATGTAGTGCCTATACGGCCCCTACTAATCGTACCTTAAACCTTCTGAACGTGTACTTGTCATCTACCTGTCTCAGGAGGCTTTGCCTCTGAGGAAGAAAGAAACATTATCGAGGACAACAAAACTCCACAAATGCTCTAAGAGGTCTGAACAACTTTGGATAGCTCTATAATAAAGTCAGGATAGCAAATGGGGGTGAACCAATTGACAAAAGTGCTCCGTAAAGTTCATTAGCAAACAATTTGATCAATAAAACCGATGAACCACAATTTTGTTAAGTAAAAGAAGCTGGTACAGATGCTGTGAGACCATTTGGCCTCACCAAAATAAACGGTACCTGGAATATCTGACCAGCTATGACTGGAACTGCACAAGCAGACGGATGCTCCAGGGTTCCTCAGACTCTTTGACCACCTAGACTCTTGTCAACACAGCGCTGCAACTGCCATTGAAGCAGACTCCCTACTGCTACCCTTCTCATCAATTACCTCCGACCAGGGAAAAACCCCTCTTGTAATACATCCCTTTATAGTAACACCATGCAGAAAGCATGGATTTTTGCAAGCCATAACACCTATCTAGAATGCTATTTATTCTGACAAAAAGCTGTTTCAAAATACCGTGTTTAGTGTTTGCAAATGTTAATGGGCTTCTTTCTTCAATACAAACCATGAAAGCAAAAAACAATCATACCATAGTACTTGCAGTGGAAATGGGGAATGAAAGGCAGGAGGCTGAAAGGTAATATCCCTAAACAGATGTTCCTCAGTCCTTTGATAAACAGACTATCAACATATTAAAGAATCCACAGTGAATGTTAAGTAAGCACAATGTCTGCAAAGGAAACCAGTTTCCATCCTCATCTAGTTCTCTGCTAGCTTTGATACAGCTAAACATCAGTCCAAGTAACACACACATAGATGCCCTCGTAGAAGGCTGCATTCTTTTCTACACCTCTCTCCCCTTCTCTTTCTCTAGATACGTATCTTATACGTGTGTGTCAGTCTTCCATGAAGCAGTGCGAAAGGGAGAAGGGGTCTACACGTTTTCCAGAATCTGAAAAGTTACTTCCTAGCAAAATCTGCCAATTCACAAATGAAACAAGTTCTTACCCCCAGCTATTGGCCCAGACACTGAATACAAGAGAGCAGACCACTATGAAAAACCTCAGATACTAAAGAAACATACACAAGGAAGAATGTGATCAAATCTCTAGAAGCTCTAGAATAAATAAATAAAGAATAAATCTCGAATAAATAATCTAGAATAATAAATAATAATAAATAATCTAGAATAAATAATCTAGAATAATCTAGAATAAATCTCTAGAATAGGGGACTCTGAGGTAAACAAACCTCAAACAGCATTATATATACCTTATGAAGTCAGGCAAACTTTTGGCCATCCCTTCCTGAAAGTGAATGTAAATAGTGACACCTTATTCCGACCTTAAAGAGGACTTACTTTATAAATACAGCATGAAGTGGGCTCTGCTTCTACTAAAACCCACAGACAAATCAAGCAACTACAAATGGCTTTGTGCAATTCAAACTAAAATAATGCATGTTGTTCAAAAGAGTAGTCATCTTTTGTAAGTTCAGAAGTCTAATAACTCAAGTGTCTGGTAAATCAGCAGGGAAGCACCTACTATTTCTCTGAATGCTGAGTTTGTATAAGCAAATGGGAAATCCTGGGAATTTACAGTAAATTTTCACCTCCAACTTGGCCTGGTGTATCTTGTTTCTCATCTCACATAAAATTTCAGCAAGTTCTAATATTATAGTCAAACTAAAGTAATATGTTCGAAAGCCATGTTTTGGCACCTAGTAATATCAGGTAATGAAGAACAGTCATGCTCATTAACTTTTCATTGTGAAATGGGATTTTTATCAGTGCCATAAAAACAAGCAAGCAAAACCCCCAGTCTTCTATTACACTGACGGTTGCATTTGTTCATTATACCTGCTAATCAACAATTAGTTTAATGCCAGCATAACTGGAATGGAATAATGGCTCCAGATGCTATGACAAAGGAAATTTTCATTCCTTACAAATGCATCTTTAGGAACAGCAGGAAGGGAAGGTGTCTCAGAGAAAACAAGATTCTCTGCCAACACATACGCTGAAGAAATGATGCAACAGAAAATTCTTTATGCGCACAACAGCCCGAGTTAAAAACTAAGCAGTACTTCAGGCATTCATAATAGCCTCCCTACCTATCAATGGAGGTGCAGTGAAAAGATACGTATAAGGACTCTTCTAGACTTTATACACAAGATGAAACCTGTTTTTATACGTAAAACATGAATAGCTATATTTTTCAATCATTGACTTAAAATGGTAAAGGACTGCTTTTCACCTTCTCTGGTATCCAGAGTTCAGAAAGGTACACTGAATACTAATACAAGCAAACTTCTCGGTGCTAAACAAAGGCTGTTTGCTGTTCTTCTGGATTTTTAAAATATTCATGGTGTAAACATTTCCTAAAATTCTTGTATGTTTCAATTCACTCCTCTTTATCTTTCCTCCATCTTCTGGATTCCCAAAACAAAAGCAGACCATGTTCACGAATTCATTCTTCTCTGTCTCAAAGCAGGGAGGGAAGAGAAATAACTGCAAAGCACATCACCTCCAACACCAGTCTTTTGAGGCTGCACACCAAGGTATCTTCAAGGTCTTGATCTCAGACATCAGGCAGACACACATTACGAAGAATATAATAAGTGTTGCTCCTGTTCACTTTGGATTATAATTTCATTCTCTAATTCTTTTTGGTTGTATCATGCATCATTTTCTTGACTAGTACAACCTATTTAAAAAGAAAAGAATATATCTAGCTCCTTTCTTCTTGGTCATAATCTGACACTAAATAATTTACTGAAACACATAAACATTCTGGTATGAAGTGCCCAAAGAAATTTGCCAGGAGCAACACTTCATAGCACAGCAAAGCTCTGCCAATACCCAAATCCAACAACACAAGCAGCATGGCAACCTCCCCGCCATTAAAGCTTGCTTTTTTTCTTTTTTTTTTCCTTTTTTTTTTTCCTTTTTTTTCAGCATATCAGTGAACCCCTACATTATTCCAGGTCATATATTAAAAAAAAAAAAAAAACAAAAACCTATCTACTTGTACATTATGAAACATCGTAAATAACTGTCATGTAATTGTAAAAAAACCGGTGTAACTGATGATGGTACTATATGGTTGCCATTCTAAGTGTTTGGGGTTTGCTAGTTGATTCACCAACTTCAGGAGTATACACCGGTTCTCTCAAACACAAGTCTAGATCAAGGAGATTCTATCCCAGCACAAAAACATCCAACACATAAGCCACAAGAATAAACAAAATCCCTGGTCTTTTCTTGTTTAAGCTAATCAGACTGATTCATTATTTTCCTGTCACCAGTTTTTTATCTCAGGTTTGAGCTAATTATTCATCCATTTCTAAAAGTATATAAAAAGAACAATAGTCCAACAAGTACAAGTCACCCTATTTACTCACCAATTCATTTCCTTTCAACCTTTCCAGAGTTCAAACACAGGAAGCGTGCAAAAATCCTGGGTTAAGTGGCAGAACTTTTTGAATAATTACTAAAAAGAAACCCTGTCCACACAGATCACTTTCAAAGGATAATTAAAAGGAAATCATAAATGACAAAATGTTAAAGTATTTATAGCACTAGACAGAGGGCCACAGGTGCCATAAAGCTGATCACCAGAAACAGAGTTTCCAGGTTACATTTTAATTAAGAAAACATTCACATATATGTCAATGTGAAACAAAACATTCCAAAATTTAGTATCTTACATTTTCCAAATCTAGTTTGCTAATATGCAATAGCATTATTATTATTTATTTAGCCTATCCCCTACTGCCTCACAAAGGCAAAACTGATTTTGGAAGTGAAAAGCTTGCATGATATGCAGAACACGTACTGTATACATTCCTTCCATTAACATACTTTTGAATGAAGCTTTTTTATGCCACCAGTGAAATTCCCCAAACTTGGTGTCCCTATATACATTTCACTGCATTGATATAACCCATTTCCTCCCATATTCTTTTGTGTCCTCCATTTAAAAAAAAAAAAAGTTTAACCATCAAGTGAAAAATGTCCACAGGCATCTTACACTGCTTTATTTAAAAAAAAAAAAAACAAAACAAAAAAAAAAAAAAGCCCCATCCAGACAGCTTCTTTTGGAGAACAGCTTTACATTCCTGAGAGTGAATAGCTGTTGGAACAAGACTGCCTCTAAATGTTCCAGGACTTGTCAGACATTGTAATCAGGGGACTTTCCCTGTGGTTGTCGCAGTCGAATTTGTAAGGTAGAAAACGCTCCCACAGTCACATGAAAGAAGAGCTGCCACAGGTTGCGCAGTTCATACAGATACATATTACACAGACAAATTAACCCAAAAGTCAGGAAGGATTTGGCATTCCTCCAGCCCGTGTAGTATACAAACAGGTAACACTGTCAGGAAATAAAAAAGAAATCAGATTACCGCGTGGAAAATAACTTCCACTGAAGAAATGCTATCTGGTCATTGAGAAGTTACAAACCCGAAACCAGTAAAAGTCTAAACCAAACATGTAAGAACAGTATCAATTTAGCAGTGGTGGAAGGGTGAAAAGTACCTGACATCAATACAAGGTTACATTTTGCTTCCATTAAACCCTCTCTGAGAACAATTCTTTCATAATAATTGATTACAACCTGCAATAACGAGTGGGCCATGACTAAGGAAAATGAACGTTCCTGGCAACCTCTGGTCAAAATACTCTCTGTTCCACCCGAGCAATGGAGAAGGAACAAGAGCCTGTGTTAAGTCGTCTTCAGGCAAACCAATGGGAAGGACATGGAAAATACCAGGGCCCTGCAGCTGGGATTACTCAGCACAAGGCAATCCCCCAGATACCAACTCAGTGTCCTGACAGGGTTAATGCAGAGGATTAACTGGCAGATGCAGAAAAGTCCACAAATAGCCGCTGCCCTTTTTCAGCTGGTGCAAGACGGATCGCATTTGGAGAGAAATACACAACAGCTCTACTGTAATTCTACCATGTTTCAAGGGCCAGTTTCTGCACGCTGTGGTGTAACACAGAATGTCAGGACTGCCCACAGTTCCCTTCTCTGCCTTCTTCCTACTGCAACTGGAAATCTGGTCGAGTCTCTCGCCTCTGTTTTCATCTCTAAAAGGACATAGCTTATATGTACACATTATTTTTACTTCTGCTATTGTTCAAACTACTTCCTTGACTTATAAAAAAAAAAATTGTTTGCCCCCCCTCTGGATTCTAGCCACTTCTGTCTGCTGAAGAAAGTTTTTGCTGTGCTTCAAGGTAGATAACATCACTTGGGCTTACTTTGTATTCCAAATCTGTTCCCCGTGGATCTATAACCTGGTCACACAAATTTTTTAACAGCATCCATCATCAGATTATCTAAGTGTCATTTCTGTTCTTCCTGGGCATTTGCCACATTTTATCAGTCAGAGAAACTCTACTTAAATTTTTTCATTTTTCAGGTTCCTCAAAAAAGGGCCAAAGCATTGTACATTTGCAACCAAACAATGCAATTTATTGAGGTTACTTCATATTCTAGTCAAAACTCAACCACTTTCTTATAAAGCATGTGTTTCCACTGTAAGTGTGGCTGAGATTAACAAAGCTACTTGTAATTTCTGGATATCTAAATATCTTCAGAGATGTGAGTACTGACAGTATCAGTAAGCTTTGTATAGGACGTATGTATAGGAATGAAGTATGTCCTTCCTCCAAAGCAAACTTAATCTAGAGATAAGCAATCCATGTTTCAGAATCTAGATGGAATTCCTCTGAACCTGCTTGGCCATTTTGAGCTGAGCAAATGCAACCCACTTGTGATGACAGTTTTACAAATCATATCTAAAAGAGCAATTAGTTGGTACTAGTATCTCAGCAGTAAGAATTCAGATAATTTTCTAGCATTGTCGCCTCCACTGACAACATATGAAGAAGTGTAACTGCTTCCAAGATTAAAGTAAGAGTCAGGATATGCTCCGTCGAAATGATTAATAAATATGAAGGGTTTAAAAACCAAAAATACTATAGAAGTTTAAAAATGTTACTGCAACATGATGTTGAATGACTGTGAATTTTACTGAAGACCTGTTTTATATGAATTCTGAGGCTTATCTTTTCATTAGTCTAGGTCTGAGATGCTAGAAGATTTGCCATTTACAAAACAGAGCACCAGTCAAAAGGCCAAAGCACTGTGGTTTTAACACCTCACTATAACAACTGCTGTTACACAGTTCCTGAGGGGTTATTTTCTTCTATTAAAGGGAAGTGTTAGCATGGCAATTACTGAGCATGCTTTTATGTAAAAGGCTCCTCTGTGCTACTTCAGAGAAGATTTATTATTTTCTTTTAATAAATGTTAAGAAATGACTGAAGACTCAGCTCCTGACACTTTGCACTTTGGGTACAACTGAGACAGTTGTTACTTTTGTACACTTCCTTCTTCAGAAGAGACTAGAAACCATGGAACAACACTAGACATGTCAGCGAGCCTAAAACATCATATTCCTTGCAAGTCCTATTTTCTGCCTGCACACCTAGGTTACAAACATTTTCTTGGAAACTAAAAACACGCTGCTATGTTGTTATTAACTGAATGAGACAATACAGCATTATGGACACCTTGTGGGTGAATGACAATGAGATGTGCTGTCATGCAACATATGGAATTAATCTCCCCAACTCCTAAGTGTGGCAAAAGAACATCAGAACATGCCAGAGAACTGACAGCCCTCTTAGTTATGAAAACCGACCAATTACATATTGTAGGAATGACACTAGAACGTGCGGAATAAGAGTCTCACCAGATATATTTTGAGTATTAAGAAAAAGCCTACATTGCAAGCTGCATGGGTTCTTTCTTTAAAACAGCTCTATTCAAGTCAGACAGTGGGGGAAAGACATATGTCCTTATGTCTCAATGCACAGGCATGAATACTTCATAAAGAATAAGGTTTCTAATTTGGGAGAGGGAAGAATGTGTATTTTTCACACAAAAAAGAATGGAGGAGCTCCACCTTATCTGATATGTAACGGATTATTGGCGTGGAAAATTAACACCAATCTGAAGAATTATTTAAGGCAGAAGCTGATGAAAAGTCAACAAGCGGTGAAGAACACAAGTTGTACTGTGACATTTTGCTAGAGATAAGTTGTAGAGAATGGAGATTACAGGCAACCTGGACAAAAGGCTGACTATTAGAAAGGCTGATATAAAAGGAAAATCCTGAGACATTATTTTATTTTATGGTCTGACACTGCGCTAGACATTGGCACATGGGAAGAAGTAGAAACTGCATACTCCACAAGTGCAAGAGATTAAAAGTCAAAAAAATTATAACAGCAGCAATTGAGCATGACAGACATTATAGTCATAGCTAAACGTGACAGCAGTGTCACTGAATGACAAATGCTAACGGGCACAAGAATACCTCACTACAAACTATATAGGAAAGTCAAATCCAGATGCAGAAACGGAAAACCTACAGACATGACATGCAATGTGAAGTATCAGACAGGAGAAGGAAAACATAGTGGAAAGTGGCTGAAAGCTTTAGGAAGAAGATGCACAATAATGTATGAAGTGAGGAAAAATCTGGGGTGTGGTGCCTAGGTATTACTGTATTTACTTCAAATCTTTCCAAAGGAAAGAAGCAGTAAGGCATTTGTTCAGATGGTTAAGTTTGCTTGAACTATGAAACTACTACTTTAAGGAAATGATATAACCTCCACTGCTTGTGACTTTCGAGATTAATTGTAAGCTTCAGACAGAAAAGTACACCAAATCTTGTAATCAACTAACTGGAGAAAAATGCCAGCAAACAGAAGCTCTTTATATCAATCTACTGTATGATAGCTTATGATTAATGAAATAAAATAGAGCAGAAATTATTTTTATAATTGCCCTATTCAAGTATCTGTGACATTTAAGAAAACATGATGACATTTATGCATGACTGGGTAATGTTTCTAAACTCTAGTGAATTATGCAAGCATAAGAACACACCTGGTACAAACAGGCAGCTGTTCCAAGAAAAAATGCGATAACATAGCTGAAATCTTCACCTTCATTCTGTGAAAATAAAACAAAAAGCCATGTTTTACAATGTTTCAGTGAAATACCAGGTATTTACAGTATGAAAGTTATTTATTATTGTATGTTACAACAGCCTCACATAGAAATTTATAGTAGTTCCTATACTATGCTAAACCAAAAGTGTTAGCACTAATCATTGCTTACTTATATGTCTGGCAAAAAAACACTGTGATCTGGAATCTGACCAAAAAGTTTATTTGCAACACACAACTAAAGCTGCGATTTTCAAAAGCCTTAAAAGAAGCCCAGCTCTAACACTAGATACTTACCTTCTCCAGATGCCTTTGAAAACTCAAGTCTAAACACTGGTAACTACCTTTAACATCAGCTTTGCAGAATTGTGCCTTCCTCCAGCTTCACAAAATGGAAACGAGATAAAAGGCAAAGACACATACTGGCCACTAGGGTGTGGTAAAATTCCACACAGAGAATAACGCAGGCAGCTCTGCGTTCATGGCAGTGAGAACAAACGAAAGCAGATTAATTTATCAGAGGGAGATTATTGGAAAATTCAGTTTTCTTGAAGGAAAGGACAGAAAAATTTACATGAAGTGATAGATCTTTCTACTATGTGTTTAAAAAAACAAAACAAAAAAAATTCCTTCTAACTTATTCAAACGGGTTGTTAAGTTTCTATAGAGCTGAGCAGAATAAATTTACATGCTCAGTGATTATTCTAACTGCATTTCAAACAAACATCTGCAACGATCAAAAACTTTCCCAGGAAAACAATGGGTACTCATGCAAATGTTCTTCCTTGAAAGTGAGTATCATTCTGAGAAGAAGGTGGTCCATTTGGAACTACAACTTCTTTCTGCTCAGAGTACGTTCAGTGTGAAGCATTTCCATCTACGGTGTTGGCTAGGAAAAAGTTTGTATGTCTGCACATAAAACTTACCTACACAATGCAGTATGCTCCTGAACTGTATGTAAATCTTTGCCTCAGTGCCACTGCGTATTTACTGGAGTATAGCTACAGAATGTAACAGAGTTTTGGTAACACCCAAATAAAAACACTGATTATAAAGGAAACACTAATTCAGAGAGAAGCTTTTGAATTACTTCTCAGAAGAAGTTCCATTAATCACGCTTTGGATTATTTCTCCCTAAACCTTGTAGATTTTTGCATAGTAAAGTAAATTAAGGGATATTTTAATGGATTTTTAGTATGCCTCATATGTCAGAAATGAAAAAATATCTTCCATCTGTACTGCCATCTATTACCTCCAGATGCAATAACATATATAATAAAATTAATTGGCTGTCCTATCATCACTTAAATAGGTTAGTCTAACATTGGCATTCCTTTTTAAAAAATCAGCTGCAGAAAGGTAACAAAACAAGTTCTAGAAACATTACACTAAGTGGTAGAAATCTGTTCAGTTCTATTTGTACTACAGTGTACTTGAAATTTATTCCTATTTATAAACTGAGAGAATTGTGCATATCACAGAAAACTCTAATTAGGGATAAAGTAGAGAGTATGTTCACTATTTTGTTCTTGTTTTTTGTTAAAAAAAAAAAAAAAAAAAAAAAACCTCAAAAGAAGGACCTAGCATGAAACACTTTCATTAACCCTGTTCATCTCTTCCTTAGTCTTCAGGAAATGCTGAGACCTCAAACATTACTGCTTTATTAAATCTTTACATGTATCAATAATTATGTAAGACAACTGGAATACAGTTGTATCATCTTCTTTACCTCACTCCCCTAAGAAAATCCATTAGGTATCAAAAGCATTGCCGTTATAAAGTCCATATATAAGTTTGAATAAAAAGATTCTCTATTAGCCAAACAGGAAGATTCCCGTTTTCTTTCAGAAAACTTCCACAGGGTTTTTAGTTTCTACCTCCACCACCACAACAGTAGAGCCATTTAATGTTAAGTCTTTTTTTTTTTTTTGTGGTAACACACGTGAACTTTCTGTGCATGCTTGCAAGCACTACCAGCATATTCACTTGAATTGCTTGAAATCATTAACCACTATTATTTTCATTGTAGCAATGAGAATACAACTAGCACAAGAAATGGAATAGAAAGAAACTGAAAGGCTACGGGGAGGGTCAGAGCAAAGAGTTCACATAAACAAATAAATGCTTGTTGACGACGGGGGTGTTGTTGTTTGGGGGGGGTAGGAGAAATCATTTAACGGTCTTCCTTACATTGATCCTTTCAGCACACAAAGAGAAATAAGCATCCTACTTAAGAAGGTTTATTAAAAACAAACAAACAAAAACTAAAAAAGGTTTCTAAAAAACAATTTTACAGAACTTGTTTAAAGATCCCTGCTCTGTGGACCTTTCAAAAAAAATTGGGCAGATTTTCAAAGCTGTTCATCATTTCTGTCAAGTGTTTTTAAATAACATCTATTAAAATTAAACGTCTCATATCTTGGCATAAATTTAGAAAACAGAACATTATGTTCACATACTCACTGCTACCAAAGTACCTACGAAGGAGTTGGCCACCCACCTTCTACTGCTTTTGAAACAGCCTCAATGAATGATGCATCACACTCAGGAAGGATGCACAGATCACAAACAATATAGGTTTCATAAACAGAGGTCTGACCTCACAAACAGTATTTCTGAAAATAAAACTGGCAAGACTTAGTTCATATAGCAAGCATCTTCTAAGGTGATATTATGATTGCTATGATGCATAGCTCTTAAATTCATAAACATGTACAATACCTGGAGAAGACTTTCTATGGCATGAAAGCCACGAATTAAATTCAAAGCCCCACATAACAGACTAAGCACAAATGAGACAATCCCTGGCAGAGTGACAGGTTCCAGACGCTGATGAGGAGCTGCAAAGCAGAAGATCACAGAAAGATATCAAAGGTCAAAGCAACATCTTTAGAAATTTAGTAAAATAGTAATCTCATTTTTCAGTGGTTTCAAGCTCAAGAAGAGATCATGGAAGCAAACCACAAAATGTCCATCTTTTTTAATAAAAAGAAGAAACATTTTAAATATTTCAACACAAGGTTTAACAAAATGTATACTTTCCTTCAATTCACATATACAATTGTCTTATTATATTTAGTCTTTAACTCAATACATTCAGGTTAATCAGTATGGTACTGAAAGCTGCTCAGACATTCCAGGAAATCAATGGCAAATGATGCACTTGCTAGTGAAATTTGTCCACAATTAGTAGCCAGCTAATAAGTCACATACTTAAGAGCTCCTCGCACAACCTCCACTTTTCTTTAACACTAATGCATTAGCAGAGCTATTGAGACTGATTTAGCTTGTTTGCTGAATGGAACACTATAAGGCAAAGCTATTACAGTCCCCTACCTTAAAAAATACAGCCAGTGAGTGCTACCAAAGAAACAAATAAAAAGACGGTTCCAAAACTAAGCTAGTAGCTATATTACGACCTTATACAGACCTTCCAGTTAGTGCTTAGAAGTCTCTTACAAAACACATTAAAATCAAAACACACTTTCCTTCCATGCACGCCCACTCTTTCAGGCTTATCTAGGGTCACAAGTACATAACAGTTATGTATGTTCCTCATTACTGTCCCTTTCCATAATTAATAACAGAAAGCAGATATAAAAAACAATGCAAAACTCTTAACAGTCTAGGCAACACTGGGAAAATAACAGGACTACTGAGCCATACTTAAATCATTCTGTTCAAATCAACGAAGTGTAAAGATGTGAACAATGAGGTTAATGAACTGTAACATTAATAGAGAGAGGGGTGTCAATCCCAGTTGTTTGCATTGCACAGATCCAGGAAAAAAGGCTTTCCAAACAGTTTATGAAGTTACAGAACCTAAAGAAAAAACGACAAAAGCTATTTCACATTGATAAGTAGACAGGGCTGTCTAATTATGAGTGTGTGTTAACTTAAAAATAAAACACAAAACTAGTTCAGTTAACTCATTTATGCTGAATTTAATAGTGTAAGGTTGGGTTTTTTTAAAACAAAAGCATAACCCATGTTTAACTTACAGAGCTTATTGCTTTTCTAACTGTAGTGCATATTAGGGGAATACTACCAGCAACCACTCAGTTAAGGTTAGATATGCTAATTGCATACCAAACCATTCTTTTTCAGTGACTTGTAACTGGTTGGTTTGTTTTATTTTAAACCATCTCATCTAGAGAGTGGCAAAAAGCTTAAGGTCTATGTGACTATTTTTAGCTAAAAGTAATTGCATTTCATTAACTGGTGGATAAAATTAGTTCACTGCTCTCCATGGACAGCTCTCCAGACAATCTCATTTTCCCCATGCATCAGGGTAACTTTAAAATATCATGTGTTAAAACAGTATTTAAAACACCTCTTTGAGAACTATGGGGGAAAAAGTAAAGAGTCTTGTCAGCTAAATCAAGACAGTCTATGAAGGATCATAAAATACTAACTTTTCTCTCTTACTAAAATATGAAAACAAATCCAAAAACTTTAGAGGACACTGCATGCCACTACTGATGTCATTAAGCTCTCCAGGGCTTAATAAGTTTTAGTGTTACAATCAAAGCAACAAGAGTCATTTAAATACAAAAAAATAAAGGCAAAACCAGAAGAACAAAGGAGGAGTGTCACAGAAGAGAGGGTAAAGGACAGCTCACCTTGAGTCAGTACATCCAGAAATGTTAGAAATATAACAATTACCATATCAAAAGTTCTGTAACACAAGCCAAGGATCAAATAAAGCAAAAATTCTGAATTAAAATGTTAAAATTTAAATAAAAATTCAGGAAATTTACACGATGAGAGAAACTGCACTACTTGTAAGGACATTTCTTTAAAAATAAAATGTATAAAAATAAACCATCGAGTACACCATCAAGCAAAAAGTAACTTTGATTTGACAACGGTTCCTTCCTTGGAAAAAGGTCAGAAAATAGTAAATTTATCCTAACTTAAAACATCACACATCAGCATGCTGTCACCCTATTTCTAATGCCTGCCAACACCTACATTCACCTTTGAAGCAAAATTCTATCCATAATCTGCACACCTTATGCTTCACACATTAATAATTACCGCTATTCCTCACTACACAGCACAACTTTCGCTAAAGGAAATGGGCTGCTATTTTGAATTACTTTAACAATAGGCCTAGCACTAGACCTTGGATACATATCCAAGTACAAATATAAGCAAGTAACAGACAATGCTTCATCAGCATAGACAAAACTAATGCATCAAATTCTCCAATACTGTGTAACAAAACAAGATTTGCATCTACCTAACTTCCTAGCTCTGCATGCTATCCAACTTGATTTAACATATTTAATTCACTTATAGCTAGTCATGTTTTTTTACCAGGACAGCATATTCAGGAAATTACACTAGGCCAACCATATCTTTTTGTGAGAATTTGTCCTTAGAGCAAAGGAGAAACTTTGAAGTGTAGCCAACTGAGTGGGTAGCAAACATCGAGAGAAAGTTCTTTTCAAGGGTGGAGAGAAATGATGAATGTAAAGAATTACAATACTATTAGCAGACTTGCTAAAAACGATACTGTTATTCAATAGCATCTAAAATTTGAAGAGCTGAAGAAGGAGCAAAGTGCAAACCTCTCATAATGTACAGCCCTTTGACGGTAAGTTTCTACAGCAATTCAAGGAAGGAAGTGGATAACTGAACAGAGATCTATGGAATTCAGAGGAAAAAGAAAGTTAAAAGTAACTGAAAGAGGGAAAAAGAACAGAAGAAAGTTGACATGGAAAGAAAAGAGGACAACAGAACTGCTTCCGTAAGACAAGTTGTGGAGAAGTAGGTAAAAAAAAATTGGAAGATCATCTGCCTATTATTGTTTAATTTTACTTTATAGTAAAAAGGGACATGGTCCTTACACATTTTAATTTAGGGCCATATGATGTTCCAACACTTTTTCTCAGAAAAGTGATAAAAACCTCACCTCCTACTACATGGACAACTTTAAAAATACAGCCAATTTTTACACAGGCCGAATTCTCTCATGTTCATTGTTTTTTCTTTTTCCAATTTCAGGAAGTTTGAATCTAGACAATTTTCAGAGTTAACCGTTTGCCACTACTGCCACCACAACCTCTTCCACCAGCCAGAATTACACTAGAACATCAAGAGGTAATAACAACGTAACCATCAAAAGCGGCAAAAGAATGGTATCACAGCATTACATACCTTTAAAAACAGCTGACACATATAAGCAGTAGATGATTAAAGGCATGTACAGTGCTGCTTAAAAGATTCCACTCTTCTAAACAATTTAACAATCTTCACACTCTTCCTTTATTTATTTTCCAGAATCTCTCTCTAATACTGTTAAATTGCAAATAGAGAGATTGTAAGCTATTTCTACGCTGTCTCATAGCACCTAGAATTCTCAGGATCAGGGCCCCAGCAGTACAAACAGGGCACCCTAGCGATTTTGTCTGCTTTTCATCTTCAGTAGAAAGTAGGTTTCGATCTTCTAGAGGAACCCTTACGAGCACATGAAGTAATCAGGATAATACACTGGGAAAGAGACCTTTCTTTATTTTTATATATATATATATATATAAACTGCACAAAATTAAGCTGATCTCTTGTACTACAGAATGTAGCAAGTGTTTAGATTTATGATTCCAGTTTTCACCCTGACACTGTGAACGGCATTGGTGGATGTCTGCCCAGAATAACTAGCCTTATAGACAGAGGTACTTTAGGAAAAAAAAGGAAGATATTAACTAATTAAAATCAACACTTTAACCTTTTCTTCTATTTATGATATTGCTTCACTGACTTAGAAGACTGAAATCAGATTATGTCAGTTTCACGTGTGGAGTCCACATATTAGTGCAAGGACTTGGTGAGTTTTAAGTTTTCTGTCCTGTTGGGAAACTTCTAAAGGTGGGCCTCAAACCAATTCAGAGCATTCGCTTAATAGCACAAACCTTTAACCCAGTTCAACCACACAATTCCATATTTACCTCGGACATGAAACAAATTAAAGTTTTAAAAAATTGAAGACTACTTAAATGAATGTGGCAAGTATATACATAATTACTATTATTAACATCGTACACAAGGCACAGCTCTTTGGATTTTCACCGCCACAGATGCTTCCTAAAGTGATGCTTCTCCCTCCAGCTGCTCTAACTCTTGACACTGCTCTTAGCTTATGTCATCACTGGGTCTTACTGGGCGGAAATAATAAAAATTTTCATAAATCTTAAAAGGTCAGAAAAAGAAGATCATCTTGTTAAGTGCTCATCTTCATTTGCTTATTTTCATGCGGATTTTTTTTTCCTTCAATAAAGCAGTCCATTGAATAGACCCATTTCTATCTCTGAGAGCCTTGGGAAGATAACGCATTTTGAGTAAAGGATGAAACAGACATCTAAGCTAAGACATGCGTAAGCTCATGTCAGCTTTATGCTTTATGAACACTATGGTGAAAAAGCTTTTTTTAAAGAAAAAAATATCAAAGATTAATTCTACTACCCTGCATCTGTCTCATTTAAGAATGCAAAAACTAAAGCCTGAAACTTACCTGCAGATATCTTACCAGTACCCTTATATTCCGCCACAGATAAATGTGCAAACCCATTAGCTGAACCAAGTTCTGACACAGAAATTTGATAAGGTGGTCTCAGTTTGATTTCTGTCTGCATGTCAGCAAGATTCATCTTTGTTGACAAAGAACGTGTGTTGTTATATCTCTGTTTGGTCCTCTGAATGAAATTATCTGTATAAAATTTAAAATAAAAAGGTATATCCTTATGGGCTTTTGTTAATTAAATAATCCAAGACCATGCAGCTTTATGTACTACATACTTCACAAATTGAAATATATTGTTTGAAATGCTTGTATTTATCTTGGAATTTTTAATACTATTTCTGGTTTGTGACTTATACATCATGGGCTATTTAATTCTGCAGTAAAAAAAAATTTAAGCTCTAGAAATCTAATTACTTAATAACTGTGAATAAACTAATGACTTTTCACTGCATGAGACTGAATGCATTGCTAATACAATGGATTTACTGCATTTATTCTAGCTTTTCTGTTAGTTTACTGAATACCCTTACAAAAAAAATTAACTCCTGCATTCAAGTATAAACTTACCTGAGTATGAAACTTGCTTGCAAAATGTTCAAGCAGAGAAAATTAATACTGTATTATACACATACAAACACTGTAACAGACCTACACTCTAACTTAACAAGTAGCTGAAGAAAGAAGGCATTAGGGGAGGAAAAAAAAAAGAAAGAAAAAAAAAAAAAGAATGTGCCGAGAAATCTTCATAAGGAAGACAACAATGTTATACAGAAATTGTTCAAAATTGCCTGACTAAATTATAGACAGGAATTAACCAACTGGAATATCATCCCCCATATTTCTAAAACTGCAGTTCTTTTTGTTCTAATGTGTTTTACAAGAATATTTAAAATAAATGCCTAACATATAGTATTAAAGCGACAGATCTTAATGGAATCTGTAAGAGCTGTTACCTGAGATTAGTTGTATTTGGAGCTTGCATGACAAAAGATTAAATGCTTCACTATATCATAGGACAAATAAAAATCTCTCCCTTTCATGTACTGAACAAAAATTATAGCACTGCTAAGAGCAAACATGAAATTGCAGTCTTTTACTTGAGAAATTTATGAAGCTCAAATGCCTTTACAGGTTAAGTATTTCAACAGGTATGAAGTCAAACAACTCCTAGTATTATTAACTAGGAGAAGATGAACTCCAGATTTGGTCACACAAGGCTTAAACCAAAACCTACTGGAATGAACAGAAAGATTATAAACAAGTTTGGATAAAACTCTAGTAGCCTAATTTAATGCCCACAGAAGTATTTCTTTATTGACGCTAACAGGAGTTAAATCAGATTCTAAATCCACCCGAAATACAGCTATAAACTGCCTTGGACATTTTTGTTTTGTGCGCATTAAGTTGCACATCTGTTTAAATATTCATTTGTCTTAGTGTGAGAATCAAGGAAAAAAAAAGTCAGATCCTTACCAAACTCTATAAAACAGTACGGTCTGACAGCAGTATTTGTCTTCATCATATTGTAGGTAGTGATGAACTCTTTCTGAAGCTCATCCAGGAAGCAGAAAGCCAGGACACTGGGATAATTTTCAGTGCACAACATCATATAGCTTACTCCCAGAGAACTTATAAAGCTATAATTGAGACAACAAATTCAAAATTTCAAATTTAAATCCAGGTAATTCACTGCTTCACTAGTCTGATCTTATATTCTATAATCAGAAAAGCAAAAACTGTTCTGCGGTAGCAAGGGAGTTAAAGTTTACTGAAAAGTTCAACACTATTCTAGGAGAAAAACAATTTACTTTTAGGCAATATTTTACTTTAACACCACATTATACAATCATATGAGAAGCTGTGTTATACTATATGTGTATGTATATATACGTGTGTGTGTATACATATGTATACACTTTCACATACATGGAACAGAAAAATAACATAGAGCTTTTGGGATACAGAAACACAGCAGGTTTGTCCCATAATAGCTTTTCATTCATCTCAAATACAGAATATGTGATCTGGTGCATCGCAAAAATGCAAAAACTCATCTTCAGATTGGGGGAGGAGTAGAAGTTCGTTCTTTCTAAAATACGTGAGGAAATAAAACTGTTCCGTAGATTCATCATTATCCAAAGATAGTTGCAAGGATGACCAGAGATGGCAAATATGAAATTAGAAAGGACAGTTTTCAATATACATATCCCTATTGCATTTAGGCAATTCATTAAATAGAGTTCATATTTACATGACACATTGAAATTTCTTCAAAATCTTGATGGATAACTTACACTATCGAAAGAAATCAAAGACAAAAGTAATAAAAAACATCCTGACTAAGCCTTATGTCTCATTCTTAAAAGTTTCTTTTAAGCTTATCAGTTTACAAGCCAACTACAGCTGAGGATTTAAAAACAACATTAACTGGAAAAATTTAGTCTATACTGGCCCTAATCCTGAGAAATGCTGGAAATTCACATATACCAATGGGAGATGGAGAAGGCTGAGCACTTTCTAGTATCATTCAGGTGGTATACTTTCCACCACTGTAACTTCCACGTTTGCTAGGGGTTAGGATGAAATTACTCACCTCATTTAAAATAGCATATCTAAATTAGAATCAGAATTTAGCTCAGCTAAAGTGCAACTGAATTACCAACTACACACAGGTGTACCTAGTTACCAATACTAAGGAGAAAGGTCACATATAAAGCAAAATTCTGAATAAACAATAGATTCAAAGAATGATTTCATGATAATCCAAGTTTCACACTGCAAATGGAAAAAAGAGCATCTTCTGAATTATTACTTAATCAGTGTCATCATGCAGTACACTATCAAATTGACTAGCTCAAAAAAATTTAGCAATAGTTATTAAAAAAAAAAAGTCAAAACACAAAAGCGTGAAGAGAAAACAAAAAGCATGGTTGTGAAAGTGCTGGATGGAGCAGTAGGATAGGGAAGCTCCATTCAAACATTCAAGACTTTACTACACACTGCCTTCACACTAGAAAAATCACTCCCACCCTTCTCAGTCCCTGTGTGCCGTATGAAATAATTATTAAGTTATGCTTGGGGTTTAGGGCATGTTTTCTCTGAAGTCAACAGAAGTCCTGAAGGTACAATATTGTTTAAATTCGTGTAGAGTAAAAAGAGAAAACAAATGAACAGTAGTTGAACTAGCATGATGAAGAACAAGTCTGGTGATTTTCATGTAAGAAACAACCTTGAAATTTAAAGAAATATTGCTACTAAGTCAAGGACTTCGCTACTTATAAAATATTGTCTTATTTCAAAGTAGAACCTCCACCAAAGTTTGAGTAGCTTTCAAATCTTTCTACAATTTCTCAATTTTAAATTTCTGATACATAAATACTGCCAAGAATTAATCTTAGTTTGATTAATCATTTCTAATGTGAACTGTTAACTCTCTAACTCACAGACAGACACAACCAGGATGTCACAAATATACAAAAGAGAAGCCTTACTTTATGTTATACTGCCCAGTTTTCAGAGTACATCTATCGGGAAGCTGAGAAAGTTTCTTTGAGAGCATTTTAAAGTATTTTCTACATTCTTGCATTCCCGTGCTCTGGTCATAATCAGTAGATGCAGACAGTGGGAGTCCATCCCTCACACGGACCACAGAGGCAGATAAAATCATAGACATTGCCAACAGAGTTAACGACAACCTACAACAAAACACAAATCAGGAGGAATCAGAATTAAGGTAAAAGCAAAGACACTGGAGTCAACTGTGATTAATCAAACTTCCCAAGCTCTATACTGGGCTCAGGCTTAAAATGGGGTACAGGGAGGATTTTCAACTATAACCCAGATCAGAGTCCTAACTGAATAGGACCTCTTAGTCTACGTGAACTACAAAGCAGCAGCACATCTGACATCAGTGTCACATTTTCAACTATTTTTATCTGAACTGCCATAAATCCTCACCTAGAGATACTTGTGGAGATTGAAACACTATTATTTAGCCTTAGTACTACTGTAGCACTTGCACCCTTCAAGCTGTGTGTCTTCTCACTTAGACAACAATTATAGTCTAAACAAACAACAATACCTGGAGAGGAAAAACATGTACCTTGAAGATACACCAGATGGAAAAGTGATCCAGGACTTGATCAAGCAATAATATTAATGTGCTTTCATGAAACTGTGTTACTAAGTACCTGCTTAAGTACCCTGACAAACAGAGATGCACACAACTTATGAACTATCAAATAGGAAATCAAGGATCAGGACAGCAAGGAAGGTAATCCAGCTGTCCCAACTCACAAAGCAATTTCTTAAACATGAAATGTCTTTTTTCTTATCTGGGTCTCCATTTTCATTAAATCTCCAAAATGCATCTATCAGTATTACACAAATACTGAGCAGGTTGAAATGGTGCTTGCAAAGCCTACATGCTTTTACTGTATTTAATTTTCATAGCATAATAATTAAAGCTTTGTGGAATATAGTCACTTAAAAAAGAAAAAGTTGTGTATTTAAACATTTCTCGACCAGAAGGAGAAAATTTATAGCAGGCATTTAACAGTATAAACATATAGCCTCCAGACAGTCTTTCAAGTCTGAAGACACATTTTTAAAACCTTCAAGTTCTTCAAACCTTACGTTAAATCAAAACATCCAAAAGTTTAGGAGGATGAGCATTAAAGGAAAGATTACTTATCTGCTAAGTATCAGTACACGAATTTGTCCTCTTACAAGTGGGCGAACTGCTAGAATTTATATGAAGCCAAAAGCAAACACTTCCTCAACTCTTAAAACTGCTCTGCAGACTCCTACCATGTACTACACCTATCACTTAAGAGATTATGAAAAAAATAGATTTTTGCCTCCCTCAGACGATGCTACTCAAGTTCCATACAGTCACAAACTATGAAAGGAAACAGATTTCTGAATACAGCTGAAATATGCTTTCATGTACAATACTGACATGTTTACAGCACCTTTCAAACTATGACATTAAGAGTGCTTTACAAGCCTTACCAACTGAAGGACTGTATTCTGAAAAGTTAGGAATCCAAATTTTCCCAAAATAGCACTGCCTCTTCACAAAAGAGAGGAAACAGCTATTTTTTCCCCGAACTCCCTCCCGTATTTCCCCACTACCCAAAGGTTATATATACATCAGGATTCCTACTGAATACTAATCAATAATCAGGTTTTTCAAGGGTATTTACTCTTCAGAGACAAAGAGGCATATAATAATGAAAACATTGAAAATGTGTTGTAATTTTCAATTTAAGAAATTCATCTTCATCAGCAGTCAAGCTTCAACCTACTTTGAAATGCACCACATTAGCTAAATAAATTGCAAACTAATACCCTCGTATTTTACTTGTATAGCATATCAGATTTTCACCAAAGTCATAACAGCAGCGGAAGCCACTGTTGCCTGTAGTCTGCCGAATACCTTTGGGCTTTTATCAGGTACGCTTGTTATTTCAGCGTTTCACTACAGAATTCCCTATTGTACAAAGTGCTTTGATCAGCTGGACACAAAAACAGAAAACAAAACAACTTTAGGACTTGCTCTAGATGAGCTTGCTGGAGTGAAGCATTCTAGAAATTAAACCCGCGGTTCTAGAAACTTTTACCTATCTCTATTTGAGTTCATGCACATGCTCCCAGCAGGACAATTCCCATAGAATGCACATAGCACCCGCTTTCTTAACTATGCTGCTAACCATATAATCACGGCGGCAGCTCAAGAGCATGACAAAATTGCAGAGGAGCTTTAAATTGTAATGGTTCTCTGACAATAACCACCTCTACCACTTGGAACTCAATCCTGAAAGGGACTTTCGGGAGCTATAGCAATATAAACAAAAGAACAATGATGTGATAGCAAAGTTTAAAATTCCCCTCATTAACTTACCTGCACAAAATGTAATTTCATGGATCTGCATTTCCTCTGATGAAGCGAGTAACTTCATTAGCACCTAACATGAAGAAAGGAACATAACTCCATGTCCTGTTTTAGGAAAAGGTAGCAAATAGGACAGCACTGCAGGAGAAACTCAGAATCCCGTAGCCAGCTCTCAGAAGGAAAAATATTGTTCTGTTCACTGTTCAAATGATCTTGACAGTTAAAGTTCACGTTGAGATATCTGATGAGATAAGAACAAACAGAAAAAGTTAATAAATGTTTTTACTGGCTAAGAACATTCTTCAGCTCTTTTTGTGAGGGCCTGCTTATTGGAAAGGCCCAAACACACACCAGGGAGATAACTCAAGAGGTACTCAAGTAAAACGAAAACTAGAATAATAGAAATGTTAAAATATTTCTATGTTCTTTAAGTGAAGTTGAGGAAGTCCCATCGCTTCAGCCATTTAAAATGGGTAAATATGTTACAGTATATGAGAAAATATGTACAGTACATGAGTAACTCGGAGTAATGCAACCTTTGACTCTGAATCCCATCATTCACCTCATACACTAAGTTTAATTAACCTGTAATTTCCTCTGAGCAGAAACCTGAACACTTCAGCAACGTAATACAACCAACCACAGCTGTATTTCCAAAGCATTAAGATTTTCAATATTCAATCTAAAAATAGTTGCTTTACTCCTACAACTATGGACAAAGAATATAAATATCACTAACGACAGCATGTATGCACAGACAAGAGACAAAGCAAAGGATGAAGACCCCTTTAGAGGTATTCTTTCAATTTTTATGTCTATTCTATAAGTAAATAAATATTTGCATAAATCTAGAACAAAACCATTTACTTTCTTCAAGACTCCTATTTATATTTAGAGAAATTAGGCTCTCTAACAGAAGATAAGTCTCCATTAAAACCTGCCAATTCTCTTAATGTACTATGAAATCACACAAGGTGAAAACTGTGTTTAGATGAACAGTCTTAAGATCACCAGTCAGCTAGGTTTTGTTACCATCATCCTAAAAACCCACCAGTGAAAATATGTACTTTTTCCTCAGCTTCCTAACAGCAGAATCGGAAAGCTATCTAAAAAATGAAGCTAATAAAAGAAAATCACTTTGGTTGCAAGATCACACGTACGTAAAGAGATGTGTAATACACATACTGTAACAGAACATCCAGCCTTACTTGAAAATGTATTAATACAGAAAAAAGTTTACTAAATCTTCAAAATGAAAGAGCTACGTTACTCAGCTCTCCAAACAATAAGGCTCTACAGAAGGAGCGAAGTGGTAAATTTGATATCGACTTATATAGGTAGAGATTGAAGAAATAACATAAAAATATGGCAGTGGTTTTAGAACTATTTTTAAGTGACTTTTTAAAACATCTATTCAAAACTGCACAAAGTAATTCACCATACCATTACAAATTTCATAGGTTTTCCTCCAAAAATTCTATATCTATCAAACACCTGAAGATGACAAAAGACTGCACTTCCACTACAAATGGTCTATAAATCCATTACAGGTGCAAAGAAATGAACAGGGATTGAATTCGCTATCTCATTCTACGACAGAACTGAGGAGTATCAAATCCAACCAGCACGTGTTAGGCTCATGGGTACCATAGATGGTTCTTCACAAAACATGCAGTTAGCCAGTGGAACTGCTTGTCGCAGGATGCTGTCAATGCTAAAACATTACATGAATTCAAGAGGCAACTGGAAAACCTCACAGAAGAACTACAAGGGTTATTAAAACTAAAACACTACCCTTTGCTCAGCAAGATTCTGACCCCCAAACGATGACCAACAAGGAGAGTACACCACAGAAGCATCACTCCACGCTTGCTCTATTCTTACATTTCCCTGTGTGCATCTACTTCTGGCCCATCTTTATTGATTTCCCCCCACACTGACACTTCACAGCCCTCCCTGCAAATGAGGGCTGGGAGAACTCATGGAAAAGAGGAACATGGAGAAAGCCGGCCACAGACAGGTAAGAGTCAACCGAAATGGTCATTCCTCTGTTACTGCACCCTCCCTAAAGCTGTTTGGTTTATCATACACATCAAACTCCACTGCTTTCACAAATAGGAATCATCACATGTGGCTTTGGTTTCATTTCCTCCCACGAGTGGGAAATCTCAGATGATGGAAACCAGAGCCTGTTTTACTGTACCTTTTTTTTTAACACATATTCAATTATCATCTTGCTTATTTTTGTGTTATGATGGTACTTGATCCTGAGGCAGCATGTAGAAAAGTCCTAGAAAGCGGTATACGTTCCAGTCTTTTCTAACGAATCAGTCTTCCAACTTGTGATCTCACAGTAATTGTTTTATACGCATCTGACATCTTCTCATAACTTTTTTTAGACGTGTTTGAAAGTGACCTGTGAATATGGTTTGCTCAGGATACTTCAATTTTTCAAAAACAGTCAAGCTTCACAAAAATTGAAAGAGATTCTAAGCAGATCTAGTGTAACAGCAAGCCGACCCTCCTGCACCTGCTGGCCTTCAGCCAGCCAGCCACCAGGTTACTGAAGCCATTTCTTGCCAGGCTGTCTGCCTCTCATGGTAACCTTCCATAAAATATAAAATTGGGAAGGGGTTGCAAGCCGCACACCTGCTTGACGCAGAAGGAAGATAAAGTTTCTGTGCTTACTTTGAGACTACATCATAGCGTTGGACAATTTATTGCCCCCGCTTTTGAGGGCTGTGACAGCTGCCCAGCATACTTCAGAAACGCGTGTTACAAACTAAAGCACTACAGAAGGACGCAACAAATAAAGCCACTTTGACATCATCAGGTATGATCAGACAAGGAAATAATCCTAAACCACAGGCCCATATAATCCCTCCCATAAAGCAGAGGAAAAGCACACCCTGGAAACAGCATCAAGACTCCGACTCAAACTCAGGGAACGGAACAACCTGCACCCCAGTTTGGGAACGTGACCCTTCCACCTACCACCTACGTACACGGCGGCTTCCCGACGATCGTTTGCACTGTTCGCAACGGCAGCCGGAGCGGGAAGAGGCAAGGCGGCTACGGACTTCACAGCGGGTTCGCGCCGCTTTAGACCGCAAAACTTGACACAAACGCGCCGCTGCCTGCACCGACGCCCAGGAGAACGGCAGGTCCCTGCTACGGCAGGCTTCAGCTACCGACCTGCACCGACCCCGAGGCCCCAGCTGCCGCCGGCCGCCTCCTCCACCCCGCCCGCTGCCGGAGACCAACCCCCGGGTGACAGAGCTGGAGGCAGCCGGCGCACCCCTCTCTCACCCCGCCTGAGGAGCAAACGCAGGCGACCCTGCGGCTCCAGCCGCCGGCCTGCCGCCCTCCACCGGCCCGGGAGGCGGAGAAACCGCCGACGAGTCGCTTCCCTTCGCTTCAAGGGACCAAACCCGCGCCCACCGCGGGGGCCCTGAGGTGCTCCGGCTGCCCCCCTCGCCCCTTCCCCCTCCCCGGGCCTGGAGCTGAAGGAGGAAGGCTGGCGGCAACCGAGACCCCGGCCCGGGGAGACCGGGCAGACGCAGGGCCCTGCGGCAGCACCTTCCGCCACCGGCCCGGCCCGGCC